AACTCACATAATTCTGTTATTTATTTATTACAATATCATATCAAGATTACTCTGAATTAACTTTATCTATCTTTGGATAATTGTACTGGACAGTAAATCTGTTGCTATATTAGTCAACTTTGCAATTTGAAGGCTTAGTAGTATTAATATTATTTAATGGGTGAGTTGAGGCATCCCGTGACCACAAACTTCCTATCTAATGAAATTTGAACAGGCATGTCGTGGAAGCAAAAATTCTAAAAGTGTAGTTCACAAGGTGTCAAAACAAGGTGCCCTGTCTTTCCTCCAGCGTGCTCTTGGAAGATGTAAAAACTATGAAGAAACTGGCAACAGCTGCTTTGGTGAACATGCCCTTCAAAATATCATCTTCTTGGCCCCTTCATGTGACAATGACGCAAAATCCGGTGAAGGCATTGGCTCTATGACAGCCAGCAACACTTGCAATAAAGTTTCCCATCAAGTGGAGGCCGGAAGATCAGGTAGTTTTTCATTTTTACTTTCACATGCTCTTGTGATAATGTCCGTGCTCCAGTCATATCTCAGCATTCTTTAAGAAATCACAATCTCCCCCGCCCTCCTCTTTGTTTTTTGTGCTAGGAGTTTATTGAATTCTCACATTTCTTATTTTAAAATAAATTGATTTATATGCAGGTGCGGTTTCCAGTATTTCTGAGAAGTATGATCCCCATAGAGATAATGCAGACAGAGGTATGCAGGATTCTTTCCATGGTTCAGTTCACTCATCAGAACAAGGATCATCCAAAAATGGGTCTCTGCTTGTCAAGGAGAAAAAGAAGGAAATGCTGGTTAATGGTGTTGGTTCTTCCTCAAGAGTACCAAATCTTGATGGCACTGCTCACGGTGGAGTAAAGGGAAAGAGAAGTGAGAGAGAGAGGAATCAAAGCAGGGACCAGAGTCGACACATATCCATCTCCCGAGACCTGTCATTGGACAATAGCCGAAATGAGTGCAAACCTAAAACAAAGCCCAAGCAGAAGAGTAATCTAAGTGGACATCAAGATATCTTTGTGGGTAATGCAGGAACTAATGATGGCAAGGAGACTGATCCATTGTCTAGTAACCAGGACACATTGAAGGAGAAGGAATCGGCCGAGTTGGGTAATTTGCAGCTACATGAATTCGATTCAATGGAAGAATTAGGCGTATCTGGTGAACTTGGTGGCCACCAAGATCTTAGTTCTTGGTTCAACTTTGATGATGATGGTTTGCCAGAAGATGATACTGTTGGGCTTGAAATACCGATGGATGACCTGTCGGAGTTAAATATGATTATGTGAAGTGATACATCTTATGAAAACTGCTTGCTTGTGCAGCTTCGTTATATCAGGTGTATTTGGCAAACCTGGCGGGCAGCAAGATCTTTGTTGTTGGTTGTTGGTCAATTCAGATCACGATGACCACGTTTCTGATGGCCTCGAAACTGATTGGGTGGATGATGCGTCATTCAGATCATGTTCTTCCTCATGGATTAGGCATTAATTGTTCTGGCTAAGAATTTTCATTCCATTTGGGGTTCAACTAAGAGGTGAAGAGAAACCTTGAATCGCAAGTGATCTTTCTGCTGGAAATTGTAGAGCAAGTGATTTATTGGGAGATCTGAGATTCATGGCTGTCGGGAAGTTTGTTGGTCCTTCTCCATTCTTTTGCTCAGCAAGATACAAGGACTACGCGTGTCTTGAAAATATTCACTTTGTCCAAACAAAGTTTGGCCCTTTATTAGCATTCAGGAATCAGCTTCATTCAATTAAAAGATGTGTATCGCCGGGACCGGAGTTGTGCAAACTTGATGTTGGATGAATTTGATTGAGTCTGGATGATCGTGATTTATGTTTGAAAATTTTTGTCTGAAAATCTTTGTCTATAATGTAACGTTTTTAATTAATGCCATTAAAATATAGAACTAGTTTTCCTCCTATCCTGCACTGCCAACGCAAGACAAACTAAAATGTGCCCTTAGAGGTTAGATTCAACATCTAACCGAATGAGTTTATTTGAAGGCAAACGGACTGACTTTTCAACTCTCCTTCAGCTAAGCTGGATCCCAAATGATTTTCCTTTCCTCAGTTGTTACGGTTCACTTGTGCCATTGTGTGTTACATACATACATACATATATATATATATATATATATTCGGTCTTGTGTGTTACATGTTTGTTTAAACTGCAATTCTTTGCTTCACCCGCGGCATACAAAGGACTTGATTTTTTTTCTTCTCGAAATTGAGGATTAGGTGCATGTTAGTTTCATATTGAAAATCATCAAAATACGATTTTTATGGTTTTTTATAATGAAATCAAATACTCGCCCATTTCTCATACATGTGGAAAATAAAAACATGACAGGGATGTGAATAGTTGATTGGTTATAGAAATACGCCAGAAGTTTGAATTTCATTAAAAATTTATAGGATGATAATATAATAAGCTTTGAGTAGAAATTCACCCTTCACAAACAGGAAAACTTCTGAGCAGGTCCACTGCATTTACCTGTTTCCATCATAATGATTCCACTTGCTCCCGAGTACCTCAAATTATCAACCACTCATTGTCAACTAAATAAAGGGCTTTTACTAATAAATTATTTTCATCATTATTCATTTAAATTAAATCTTGCACTAACCTTTATTGAATTATTATTATTTTTTATTATTGTTGCTGTTGTTATTATTTTGTCCAATCTTTCCTCCCATTTTCCCCATCTTTTCACGAGTAGTTTTCGGATTCCCATTTGTTTTTTTTTCCCCAGATAACATATCTTTCGCTTGATTTATTTGGATGTATTATTAGAAACTGGTGCTCAAGTGGTGAAGTGAAGGGTTGGTACGAAATTATTTTCATTATGATAATATGCTCTGGAAAGCCCTGATACAAATTGCATAATCAAAGGAGGCCAATTCTGACTTTAAAACCTTGTTGCTTAAAATACCAAAACTGTTGACTCCGTACCTACAATATTAACCACATGTCTTCTTCTTCTTGTTTTATTTTTTAGGTGGAAGAAGATATGTCTTCTTTATATATACAAGATAATAAATTTTACTGAAAATAATAGTTAATTATAAACCTGCTCTCGAAGGCTTTAAATTTAACCATCATATTATAGTCAATGCCAGGAAGGATTATCAATATTTTCATAATCTGAGGCAATTTTGAGAATTTGAACCGTAAAATCTTCTCTTTTTTCCTTAATTATTGTTGTTAATATTTAAATTATTCTCTCAACCTCATGCACTAAAACTAATGATACAACCAGCAATTTTTTAATACCTAATCTAGAGGGACGTATGCATTAAAGTAAACTAAAGAAAGGAAAAGTCAAGGGGAAAGGCTTGATGTAGCACTCTTATGATAATGACTTGATTAGATTAATGTTATAAGCCTATCCTTACCAATAATTTAATTCCGATAGCCCTTAATGGATCCAAAAGTAGAAAACGTTCGAAAGCCTAATTAATTAATTAAATAATTAAATAAAGTTATCAAAAAATGGCTTGAGCATTAAAAATAAATAATTGGAATCCAATTCTATACTCAACTAGGGGTTGTTGGATAAAACAAGCTCTTAATTATCTTGCTGACTGAATGTTGAGCATTATTATTATTTTTATTTCATAAAATTTAAACACAAGTGCACACAAACATGTTAAGATTGGACTTAAGTTCGAGATCTCGTCCAAGCTGTTAATTAGTGTTGCTATTGAGACAACTTGCTGTTGACAATGTCGAGCATTATTGGGAAGAAGATTTTTAGGGATCGATATGAGATTATTAGATGCATGCTCTGTCCCTTCTAATTCTAATGCTCCATCTCTACTGTCCATTAGACCAGTTTTTTATCTTCTACTACCTCTAGTCCTAATTATAAGACCCCATTTATATTCTATGAACAGAGACTTATAATTAGGACCGGAGGTAGTATACTATAATTTCATTTTTAATGCTTTATTCAAGAAAGACTACAATTGAAAAGATTATTTTTATCTTTTGGACGTTGAAAAAAGGGAAAACAATATCATTTCCTGGAAACCGTCTCTTATTGTGGATATACTTCTTCAACCCTTATAGCAGTATGTATAAGGATCTTATATTTAGAATTGGAAGAGTATATAAAGAAAAAGGGAACACATGATTGTGAAGCTTGTCTATGTACATACGTCTGTGCTTGTCTCAATTAGTGTGTGTATATAGATGACTGATGGAGTCTCATTTTGAAGAGACAGCTCAGGTTAATTAGAAAAGGACACAAAAAGGAAGAGTTGTTGCGTTGTACAATACTACTACAATAGTAGGCGGGATTCTCTGGCGTGTCACTTCCACTACGTGCAATTCCCCCACATACTTTCACTTTCATGATATTATTAATATTAATGTTTGTCCTTTGTGTCTTCATATTATATATATATATATATATATAATAAAATAACAAAAACAAAGTACGCTCATTTCCAGCACATGCACGGACACCCCAAACCGCCATTCCCTCCTCTTCTTTTCTCCTTCCTTATTATTCATGTTCATTCCCCACACCCACTTCTTCCACTTATTACTTCTTTTACTACATTATCCCCTCTTTTTTGATATTATTAAGATTTCATGAGAAATAACTAATTTCAAGTTATGTTCTTATGTTACGTAAAGTAGTTAATTAGGGTTTATTAAGGGGGAAAAAAGAGCTGCATGGCTATGCATGCATGTTATGCAGTAACCACCCCAGAACCTGACAACTTTCTTGGTTCAAACAAGACGCACAGGATACACACACACGCACCCATCTGTTTCCCACTCTGTGTCTTCTCTTATCAACTCAGTATCCTATCCATTCCTTAATTTCTGCCACCATTTCGTTTCGCTTATGACCAACTTCATCATTGTTCCAACATTTGATATTATATTACGTCTGCTGTAGAGCAGAACGGTTATCTGTCTGTGTCACACTTTTTCGTCGTTTCTTCTTATGCGCCTACTCACAGACTTCCCTCTTTTCATATATAATCATATGCAATCGAGATTAATTTACATTTACAATAAAAACACAGACGATACAACACAAGGGAATATGATCAAATGGGGTACAGACACGTTATATAAAGGAAAAAAATAAATAAAAAAAAGGAATATATATTTCTTCTAGACGTCACTACCCTTCCTTGTAAAGCAGGAGAAAGCAATTGACAAGCAATATATATATATATATATATATATATATATATAGAGGAGCTTTAAGTTCAAACTAAAGAGTCGGATCTATCTAATTCTACCTCAGAAACCAGCAAAATGATTCTGATGATGGTGATGATGAGGTTGCACCATTTGCAAGTCCGTCGTTGTCGTTTGGCACGGGTTATCCTCGTTCATCAACGTCCTATAATATATACAACACCACCAACATTATTATATATGACTCCCCAGAGACAGAAAACACACATGATTAAAGTTAGAGATGAAGGTTGTAGCTTGCAATGAGAAAGAGATAAAAGAAGGTTAATTACTCTCGAGGTCTTGAAGCCCAGAGAGAACTAAGGGCACGAAGGCGACCATAGTACTCTCCCATTACAAGGAAACATCTTGCGGCTTGTCGAATTGTCAGCAATCTGCATAACTGGTGCAGTGTCTGTTGCCTCAAATTATCCGCCTTCATCAAACGTACCGGAACCATATTCATTAGTTCATCAAGTCAACAAAATCACCAAGACATTCGTTTATTATTTACTACCTCCGGTCCTAATTATAAGATCTTATTCATAAACGAGATCTTATAATTAGGACCGGAGGTAGTAATATATATATGTTTGTATACATATCAAAACACAGAAGCAAACTCTCCAACCACCGCATAAGAATTTCAATGCGTCTTAATCCAGGAGGGAGCACATGGTTCAAAACAATTGACATGCATGATGACTTTGTCTTATTCGAAGTCTAGAATAATATTGTATTCCCTTTTCATACCATTAATTGATTATTAATACTATAATACCACAAGTAGTTGAGTATAATAATAGAAATAACTTTTCATATTGATCTCTCTTGTTTTTCTGAATTCTTCATGTTTAATATAATCCACCTACGGTTCACGATTCAACAGCCATTACTTTCAAAACCAACTTCTGATTGCGACATTTTAAGATGCGAAAACGACATCAAATGCTTATAATCACCCAACATTTTAACGCACAACTTAGCAACAAAGCAACAGGTATCACCAATAAACTTAAGTACCCGGCAACAATAAACAAAACATTGTTTATAGAGACGTCCCGAGCAAGTATTGGGGATTTAATAACATGAAATAATTATGAACTTTTATTCAACTTATATACAGGAAAAATATAGCGACAGGTTTCATATGATAAAAAAATTAAAAACAACAGGGTCAACGATGCCGTGATAATTATCAAGACCTTAACGCGCATATTAATTACTGGGCAGGTTGGTTTTGAATTGTTCGCCCCAGCCAAAAGATAATTTTTCCAATTTTATTACAGAAGTCAATTAACCTTGATGAGAAAAAACGTATTAAGGACGGTGCTAATTAATAAGACAAAACGAGCATTTTTATTTTCACACGTCATATTGATTAAAATAACATGGAAACAAATACGAAATTGACTTTACTAAAACTTTAGTATGAATTAGGAGCGGTCTAAAAGAAGCTAAGGAATTTAATCATAACAGCTTAAGGCTAACAGATTCCGTTTTCGACCAGTAAGTTTCTGAACAAATGGGTATTTGAAACATATAAGCTTATGAGATGAAAAATAAGTATGAATCAAATATAAAATTTGACTAATCATGTATTAGTAAGACTTAAGCTCTCTCTCTCTCCCCCCCCCCCCCTATCATTATAGTCAAAAGAGAAAATTGCTCCAAATAAGTTTGACACAAAAGATGTCACCTGATCGGCTTTGTGTCAACCAAACCTCCCCCCACCAAATGAAAAGAAAAAAAGAATCAACCTTTCAAAAAGCCCTAGCAAGCTTCCTTTTCTCCTTTTTTGACTCTCCACATATTATGTATACATAATTACCCTCATATATCAACACGAATATGTACAACTCAAAAAGATATGTTCTTTCTTTTGTCTTTCCATTCGAATGAAAGATTATCCCAGACAACTTCCCGAACAATATGAAACTACGTGCTCAGGATTGTATTATGAATATATATCTATGGTTACGAGTATAAATGTGTTACCTGGCGGACGAATCCTTCGAGATTGGAGAGCTTGCTCATGGCGATGACCATCTGTTGAACGCCGTCGCCGACCGGGCCACCGGCAATGGTGTCAACAAGGGACTGCTGGAGTTGTTCATGGCCTTGAGAGAGAGCCTCTTCTGCTTGCTGTGAGGAATGTCTGAGGCCATACATTCCCATAATCTGCTGCTCAGCCAGTGGCTCTAACTGCTGTATCAACATCTGATCTCACCAAAAACATCGCTTTAGGCCTCTAAAATACTTCTCAGTTTTATAATATGGGATATTAATGATAAATCTCTCTCTCTCTTACACACACAAACGAATTAATTAAATCAAAGTGGTTAGTTTTGTACCGTGATGAGCTCAGAGGGTCGGAAACCGCCCATCCAAAGGAAGCAGCGTTCAGCAGGAGAAGTCCACATGCCAGTAATAAGATGAAACACGTCTGTTTTTGCAGCGACGCCTTTGAGCCTGAAGATCTCATCGTAATGCGACAGATATCCATCCACCATTATTCTTAACTCGCTGTCCGATAACGCCGCCTGCAGCGCCGCTCTCAACTCCATCATGTGCCGGTGGTCTTCCTCTATCCATCTTGCGTATTCCATATCAAATATTGCAGCTCCTGCTTCTCAGTATACATGTTATGTGGTTATTGCTATGATAAACTTTGCATGCTCACCAACATTTCTTTAATCAAATATTGCTATTTTTACGATGATTCTTTCTTAGAAAGAAAAATATGTATTGCAAAATTAGCAACCGATAATTAGAGTTTAAGTTGTCTGATAAGTGTATAATTCTAAAACAATTGTTTTCTTAAAAATAAGGATATGGCGTACTGCATTGTAAAAATAAGCATTTCTGCATACATGTTAATTATATATATTGAAAAACTTCGAAGGTAAATGTGAGTAGTCCCTAAATTTTGGGATTTTTTTCCTTAAATTCATATTAAAAGATTGTTTGGTTATGGTGGCATGCAATTAATGAAAGAGACCCAGCACCGTCTTTCTTAATTAATTAAAAATTAGCAATAATCCTCTTTTTCACCAAAAAGTGGCGTTTCTACGTGTCATTTCCTCTTAGAACCCTAACATTTTACCAAAAAGTGAAAAAGAATAGCATCATTATTCATTAAGAATTCGCTGAAAAGTTAAAGTCGATGGACTGTCTTAAATGTTTAGAAAAAGTACTAGTACATATAGCTCAAACAATTAGTGCGATCTCACTTAACATTGGCATCTTTTTACTGTATCTTTCATCTATTATCATTCCTCTATAATTAGTTAAGAATGACACGTGAATTTAGCCAAAAGATTTTGGTCAAATCAACGACTTCAACTAAAATTTTAAAATGGGGTTACCCAAATTTGACTTTTATCACTTGTTTTAATATAAGCTTCATCAGTCATAGTTCCGTGCAAATTATGACAAAATAATATTAGCAAATAAACACAGACAAGATCTTTCAACTATGTTGATTATCCTGATTTTTTTCTTGACCCGGCAATTATCTATATCATAGTCACATTTGCAAGAAATCGGCTTTACGCCTTAATTCATTTCATGACAGTTTTTTATTTTAGCAATTAGTAACAAGAAAATTATGATATTGCAATATGAAAAGAAGCAGTGGAATGAACAGATAAACTCACCAGAGCTTATGTTGCCCCCGGCACCAGCACAGCCCAAGAACAGTCCCTATATTTTAAACAAACCCACATAATTAAAATTGAAATATATAATTACTAACTGCTGCATTATTCAGTTTAATTTCACTTTTCAATTATTGTGAGCGTGGAAGTATGATTTGGAAACCTGTGAGCGAGCTCTTTGAAGGTCTTGCTCAAGCTGAGTGAGCTTTATCCTACTGGACTCTAGCTGCTGCACGTAGGCCTGTTTGGATAGAGGGAAAATGAAAAAGAAAGTGCAGAGAAAGACATATTACAATACTTTCCAACACAGTAACTGTTATGATCTTCACCAACTAACTGTACGATTTAATGGGCCACACCAAATAATACCTTCTTTCTCAAACGGCTCTTCCGAGCAGCCTCTCTGTTTTGAGCTAGACGTCTCAGTGTCTGCAGGAAAACCAGAATCAAGAAAAGAAAATCTTAGCTCCTTTAATAAAAACATCGAAGTTTTGTGGGGGATGAGATACGTGCATATAATGTAATGTCACTTTAAAAACCTTTGCATCAAGTTGTTTTTCGGATGAAGAACCGGCTCCCTTCCTCTGCAAGAGAGAGAAAAAAAAAACCCAAAAAAATTCAACTCAGGAAAAGAAATAAGAGAGAAGAATGATTTCTGAGGGGGAATGACGAAGACTAGGAAAAAATGTGCTTTTTAGCTGTTTGATCTCAGAAAAGCGGAATAGAAAAACTATGGTTTCAATCCGGAGGAACAAGAAGAGATGATGAGAGGGGTAGCCGGTTTACAGAATTTCTGGGAAGCATTTCTGGATGAAGCTGGCCGTTGGGCCATTTTGGAGGAGACAAGCATTCTTCAATATGATATGGATAACAAAAGGCATCATTTTCTGCCATTCTTCTTTCTTGAGGCTATTAAACGGTGGTTGTTTAGCTTTCTTTAACTCGAGAATCGACTTGGAGTTGAGGAGGTGGGGGGAGAGAGAGAGAGAGGAAAATGAGGTTTATGTAGAGGGATTGAGAGAAGTGGGTCACTATGATAATGAGAACCGTTGATAAGTACCGAAAAGATTCTCGATTTGTTTTCTTGTGTTGTACTACATGTCTCTCCCTTTCTTTATCTCTTGCTGTTTGTTTCTCTCTGATGTTTCATGTCAGACATTCATCAGAAAATCGTTCAGGAATCAGGAAAACTCTGTGTTCTTTTGATTTTCTGAGAGCTGTTGGGATCTGTGCTGTTCTTTTGTGAAGATATGCCCAGAAGGGGAGAGAGGCAACAGGATCGTAAAAACAGTAATAATTGCATCAAAGAGGGAAACTTTTCCTGGGTTTTGGGGATCATGGAAAGAGAAAAAAAACTAAGAGATCAATAGTAGAAAACAGTAGTCAGAAACCATGAAAAAGAAAAAGAAGAAAAAAAAGGAGACCTTTTCCTGCGGTGATTTGGCAGGTGATTGATTCTGTGATGGGCCTGCTCTTGAGGCATCACCTGCCATCTCGTGTTGAAGTTGCTGTTGCTTCTGATGATGATGAAGGTCTGAAGATGAAGAAGCTTTCTTACTAATGGGAGATTCTGGTTCAAATTCGAACTGATGCTCACTTTTGCTCGATATGGTGTTAACACCTGACCCAGAATCAGTGCTTTCTCCTCCTGACTTTGATCCTCCCTGTATCAAAAAGTCATACAAAATCCATTTTCATCTTATCATACATAAAGATAAAGATATCGTCTTCCCAAGAATCAGTTCACAACCCAATATATATGTATATATCGGTGGATTTTTGTTGAATTTGGAAGGCAAAACAGTCAAAGAAGGAAAGCAAGGTAGAGAAGAGTAATACTGCTACTCTATGGGTTTGCTGAAATTTGATTGGCCAAGAGGGGAACATTTCCAGAGTAGTAGCTGCTGGCCTGGACGTGAATAAAGCTGCACGAATCATAAAAGCAAAATCTCACATCTCACAGAATCATCAAAACGAAAACAAAACCTCTGAGGATCTTCAATTATATACTGGAATAATAATAATAATAGTCGTAAATATATATGGGAAGGCGTATAGGAGGAGGAACCTAATCCTCTTTTTTCAGCAGTTATAAGACGTGTTTCTAAGATTGTAACCCCCACGCCATCCATTTCTGTTGCCTCGGAATCATTACTGTATCTGATATGGTAAGACATATTCAAAAGCTCTCATCCTCTCTTTTCTTCTCTCTTCGCTTTTTCAAGGAGTTGGTTTTGGTTGTATACTTCGCTAACGTCAGAGAAAAAGAAGAAAAATCGTAGAAAAAGGGAACCGTACGTGCTCTGCCTTCATCATTTCTAATCTCTACTCCTTGCAGAACAATTGCCTCTTCCAGCTCTCCAAAATCAAAAGCAGTCCCTTGATTGCTTTGAAACAGAAAAGATATAAATCATAATGAAAATAAAACACCCAAGTCAGATGTATGAAAAAAGTATGAACTTTTTCAAGTATGCTTCAACAGAGCAGAAGGAGAAATTATTGAAGGAAGAATACATTAAGCTGGTGGATGCTGCAGCAGTATTATTAATTCCGTGAACTACTCCATAGTGATGACCTGAAGGCGATGACTCAGACAAACCAGTCTGTCCTATTCTGTGACTCGCCATGCAAATAAAGCTAGCTATAGCTTCTTCCTTCTCAGACCATTCTAATCATCTTTAATTTCCCGGAGCTGAACTCTGAAAAACCAGAACCTGAACAATTTGAAAGGTTTATCCAGCAAATCAAATCTGTTTACCTCTTGTTTTTTCCCTTGAAATTCGCAAGGTATGAATAGAACCCAATACGGAGATGGTCACAGAGGAACGAAAAATCAAAGCTTTCTTGTCAGATATTTAAGTGGCCAGAGAAAGAGGTTCATGAGGTCTTTTTCTCAGAAATGCTCCTCCTTTGCAACTTTCTTCTCCTTCTCTGTGAAGCAAGCGGGTTTATGATCAGCGTCTAGTGGCATGAATATTTGAGTTTAATGGTTTCAAAAATGTTGTCATGGCAGACTTTGTCTCTGGGTCTGGGCTGTATTTGAAATTGTGGGGCATGAAAGAGAGCAGAAATATAATAAAAAGTGTGAAAGATACAAACAAATTTATATTAGTAGAAAAGAAAAGGGAGGGGTAGGGACATATGAAAGAAGCCACTGGAATCACTGACTCCTCCTGCTCCACTCTCTCTAACCGCCTGTGCTTTCTTATTGGTTCTGTTCTGAGCTGCATGTACTTGCACAACAAAGTCATATATACTTGTGAGCTGTGACTTGTGTAATTTTAATCTCTTCAGTTATATTATCTTTAAATCTCTTCAATTTTTTTATATTTTGATTAGTCAATTTAAGCTTCCCTATTAAATTATTAAAGAACTATCTAATTTTTAATTATTTCTCAAATTTGGTCTCAATTATTGATTCATCTCCTAGATTCTAAATTAAAACTTTTTTTTTTTGGGAAAATTAGCCACCGGCCGAGGGCCCGCCTACCAGCTGCCTGCGCTGGAGATCATCGCGGACAACCAGAAAAATGACCATCTGTAGGACTGGCCACAAAGATGGGGTTCTAGAAACCATCTTGTCCATCCTTTTAAAAAAAAAAAAAATCATATGAGGTTATTTGGTCCTTCTTTAAAACTTCAAAATTGTGGTTCTTGATTGTAATTAATGTCCTTATCCGGTCTTCAATTATCATTTACCCCAAACTTGAAGCCAAGAAACAATAGAACTAAAACATTTGAGATTAGTTTAACTTGATCTGAGGGGCTTTTTTTTTTTTTTTTTTTAACATCTCACAGCAAAAACTAAGGAGAAAGTATTCTATTAGTTTGACATAGGAAGAACACAACGTGGGGAAAACAAATATATACATGAGAGTGGTTGGCATAAGCTTGTGGGGATGAAGAAGAGCATGCATCAGAACAAAGAGCATGAGAGAATATAAAATATAGAATAGTAGAGAAACAGAAGGAAGGGATGGAAGGAAGGGACAGGCACTTTCTTTGTGTAATTAATGAAAGTATTGAGGGATGGATTTGGTTGGTATTATCCCCTTTGTTGAGGGGTCAACATCCATTCCTTGTCATCACCTAAAGCAATACCACGTTCAGATTCCATTCTACTTATAGCAATTACATGTTAATTTTCAGATTGATGAGCATTCTTGCTCCCTTGTTTCACAGAGTAATCATCGGCTTTTGGAAAATAAAATCATTGAACTCTCCCATAATTATCATACCCCCATCATTACATGTGTTGTCTCTTTAGCTCAAACGTTGTTTCTTGAGTGTATGTTTAACTGCTAATTAATCCTCCAGCCTCCTGCCTCAAGAGACATACAGACTATATCCATAAGCACATTATCTCTATAGACTCTCATAAATAAAATGAAATTTTAAGTAGCCAATTGCTGTCGAGGAAGAAATTAAGGATTTATTAGTTATTTATTTTTTAACTTATATTATTTTATTATAATTGGTGGTGACTCTTGTACTTAACATGAGATCTATTTAACTAATTTAAGTGAATTAATAAAATTAGTTAAATTAGTTATTTGTTAAAAATATGTGTTAATTATTCTAAAATATCCTCTTAAGTACGAAAAATAAAATGGATTGAGGTTTTATTTCAAACCAAATATAATCCTCAATTAAATTTTATATTAGGGATAAGAGATAGTATTTAATAATTGTTCTCTCTTTTTATATATATATTTTAAGTAAAGATATATAATACTTTTTTTTTTGGTTCATTTTTACGGTGTGTACCAACTACAACTATTCTGATAACCTCCAAGGTCTTCAATGGAAATATGATATATGAAAAATAATTTTTGGAAGATTAGTCATATAGTAGTTTAATACAATTAATAAAAAATTTTAAAAATTACATGTCAGCTCTGTCTTATTAAAAAAATTGTAATCAGACTTCGTCTAGAATAGTGGATAGGTTAGCTAAGACATAAAATTAAGCTTGTCAATGTTTGTTTTTGAATAGAAATCCTCTTTAATGTTTCTATTTTTTTACAATTAGTTTGCTATCCTTATTTATAGTAATCAAAATCAATCAATCTTAATTAAAAGACGGAAAGGAGGGAGAGATTAAGTAATATATATTTGCAGACAACATCAAGGTTTTTAATACTCAAGTCCATGATCATTATTGGGATCATAAAAATATATTAAAAATATATTAATATATCTGTACAGAAAAAAGAACAAAGAGAGATGAGACAGACTTTTAGGTAATGGATCGATGATCTATCTCAACAAAGAGAGCCAGGCTGAATGCAAATATAATAAATTTTTGTTCTCATCTAGCACTTTTTTTGCAGGTAATATGCCCTCTCTCCAACCAAATTATTCTTTCATGATGCCAATGATTGGCCTTTTAAAATAAAATAAAACAAAACAAGTGGTTAGGTTCATATAATATTATATTATAGAGAGCCTTCTACAATATGGATTAGGTTTATTATTTGTATTTTTGTTCCCAATATTCCTTACAAGTTAAAACATGTTCTCACCTCAGCAAATATTTCCGATATATTTGTAGCTTTTGCTTCTTCGGAAAACCAGAGCATTAATTCTCTCGAGTTTTCCTTTTTCTCCTATGTTGGCGTAGAAAGGTGATTGATTCGCTTGGATCAAAAATCCTACAATCGATTGCTATACGAGGAAGACGTTGCTGGACTATGTTAATTCATTTCTTGATACCTAAGCAATAAATTAAAAGGATTTTTTTTTTTTAAACTGATGAATAGACCATGGCACTAACATTTTCACTGTTTGAGAAAAGAAAATCAATTATCAATGGAAATGGACCCCATAATCAATCAATCAATCAATAACTTGGATGTTCCAAACATTAATTTTGTTTTTTTAGCAAAAAAACCCATGACACGTACGCAGGCACGCCAGACTTCTGATAGAGAAATTTGATTATAAATTATAAATTAAAGATTGCCTTTTTCTTATGTTTCTAACATGTGTTTTCTCCCTTCATTGCTAATATTACAGTCAGTGATGCGTAGCTCAACTTGTCCCTGTATAAAAGTATTTTATCTTTTGATTTGATTGATGACAATTTTTTTTTTTTTACCAAAATTAAAACTTAACTCCTGTCGCAAAAAGAAGGGGAAAAATTTTATGAAGTAAAGTTTCTAAGTGTTAGCGTTGTTACAAGCCCAACTTCTTTTTCCCATCATTTCGCACTCTCCTCAATCCCTCTGCCAATATTTTCAACTAACTTTCTCCCGTGAACGATTCGAGCAAAAGATATTAGCAAGAGTGAACTAACTCCTTATTGTCTTATCTTCATGAGCTGCACTTTTCCAGATATGGTCACTGTTATACCATTGTCCTGATGTTCTCTTCATAAATTGAATGACTTGGTTAGTTTTCGTTCCATTTTCTGTTTCTTAACAACTGGGTTTATGGAATATCCCTCTCACTCGGTGGGACCTCTTGCGTTCTCCGATAATTCCATTGGTTCATTCATGCAGAGACTGAAAAATCATTCAAGTTCTGCGACAAATTGATTGGTTTAACTTCGGCGAATTTAAAGTTCAAATTTAAGAATGTTTTTGCAGATCGCTCAACCCCGAGAAAAGAAGCCGCACCCTGTCGAAAGATTAAAATCTGTCAAACGAACATACACCTCTCTAAACGTCTAACTTCATTTAACTTCACGTAACAAGCCTCTATATCTGATTTGATTTAATTACAAATAAGGAAGGAAATTCTGAACTCCACGGGTTACCTTCTGACTGATTTTGGAGAAACGGTCTTAGTTGAATTTGCTGGGCACACAAGCAGGCCTTAAGTTGACGAACTTCTACTTCGAGATGTATTGTTAATTTGTGATGATATTGTATTTTGAATTTTGTGTTCTATGCTGTGGGAACCGAATCAAAGTGTACATGGCAATTTACCATGCACAGGGTATAACAGAGGAGTGCCAAATCAACGTTAATTTCCCTTATTTTATATCTGGAAAGCCACTAGCAATCACTCGAGCTCCAGTCTATCAAAGGCTATTCATTTTAATTCACCAGCTCATCAATTGTCATCCTTTCACTCTGAATGGACGGGCTTGTCCAGCTTCAGATGCTGCATCTGAAGAATTATTTCTCAAGTTAAGTCCATTCTTTATTCATAATTCTAGAGGAGCACAATACTAAATTTTCATCTGCAAATTTGACACTCGTATGTGAAATGAGATTAAGAGATAAGTTAACAAAATCGGTATTCTGATGTAAAAGGAGATGAAGACATTAGTCAAGAACGATCGTGGCTTTGTTAGTCCTAGCACACCTCGCTCACCACAACTCCCACAGAAATTTGAGCTTCTTCGTTAATAACCATTCAAATTCACTGTGCAATTTCCTGGCAAGATCTTTATTTTATGGTATTAGGTTAGCGATCTATCATAGCATAATCTGGTGAGTACTGAGCGAACATGGCATAATCAGTATGAATATGTATGTAGAAGAAATAAATATAACAAAACCAATGAAAGAACAACTTGTTCGGTCACAGTGAAAAGTTAACTCCTTGACGAGAGAAAATAATGTAAACTCCTCGAACGTGAGACCATCGCGTAATCTCCTAGCAGACTTTCGACTTTATCACCAGGTGCTCTACTTCGGACAGTCACCATTTTGATTTCTCCTGGGAAAGATCTCTGCTTGAATTCATGTCAACCATAAAGTGAGTTGAAGCTGCAATTATTCTGACTCAAACAAAGACACCCTTCCAGAGACACAAACCAATCAATCCACAAGAAAACTGCCTAAAAAATGCTTTATTAAAGTACAAGTCGACACATAATTGTCCATTAACATAAATGTTTCCAACTAATCATTCATGAGTGAAGTGGTGTTGACATCAATCATCTCCACAAGTTATTCATACCAGCCAAAAAAAAAAAAATAGACAGACCACATTACCATGTTAGCAAGAAGAGCCAAAATTCTAATTTACGCTAATGTCATGGTCAGCAAAGATGTATTTGCAGAAAAGGAAACCTACGTTAAAGAAGTTGGTTAAAACACATAACACTTCCCCTAAGACCACGAATCAGAGTTCACGGAGCATGACAAAACCAGAGTCTAAAAAGAAACACGAAGAAACAAGAGCACAGAAAAATGAGTTGGACTGAAATCAAAAGAAAAGATCAACTAACAGAAAAAAGAAACACAAGTAAACAAAACAAATAGAAATTAAAGATTTATATGTATAGGCAAGCCCGCGAGGCCATCACCGCCCAACCGATACAAAGTAAATCGAAGGGCTCTGACCGCGAGCAGTCTTCACCGCAGGGTCCGACGGCAAAGGCCTTGCCTTTATGCCACAAAGTCTCAGCAGCCCTGCCGCTGGGGGTGGAGCCTCCGGCACCGTTCACATGGAGAAAGAAGGGTGGCTCCACCGTCACCAGCGCGAGCAGCACAGAGAGCTTTGAGAAGGCATCGACCAAGCCAGTGTTCCCTGCTCAGATAAGATCAAGTAGTGTTTACACCGCATTAGGGTTTGCGCTTGCCTTATGTAGGCTCTTCGGGGGTTCTTTTTCAGAATCCCCCAATTACCCCCGGCTCCTGGGTCTAATTAAAGAGGCGTGTTTCCCCCTAATTCCATGGCTAGTGCTTATATGAAAATCTCTTATTCTCGTGCGTGCTAAACTTTATAATTTTAAATATAAAACCCAATAAATTTTATATTTAGAACGGTATAACTTTTTGAGCAACTTATTAATAATTAATTTTCTTATTGAGGTTTATACATAATTTTCTTCTTTTTCCCACTCTCTTCCTCTTCTTTTCGGTAAAAGTTTCTTTGGGGCCTCTGAAAATGATGAATGAGTGAATTGCAATGAAATTTTAAATAAAAAATATAATTATTAAAAAGTTTTAGTGATAACAGTTTACAATGAAAAGTTTGAAAATAATAAATAATAACTATTCACTTGTCATTGATAATAATTATTATTTTTTTAGAACTCATTATAATTCTCCATGATGAATTACTTCCTCCTCCAATCGTCTGGTTTCCAAACAATACACCAGCGAATTATTTTGCACAAAACTCAAGTTCAAGCCCGACCTTAAAACGGAGTTGGGTCTATTATATCCCAAATTAGGTGAAACAGAGTAGTGCCTTGCAACATAGCAGTGATTAACCTGGGGAGAACTTTTTGAAGAGTAATCTCAAATTATCAACCATGTCCCGGCAGATATTAATATTGAAATATCATAATTCTTTGGCGGAAGAAGAATTCTCTACAATGCACCATTAGCACATTCTAATTAGCCACTAGAAAAGTATAAACAATGGGCCAAATTTCACATAAAACTGAGGGATAATAAAAATATAACGAGATTTTTAACCCAAAAAGTTACAAAACTTATGAACCACATAAGATTAGCCTCTGTGGTCTCAATACACGGTTCGCACCTCACAGGAGTGCTACATCGCGGAGAACCGGACAAAACTGAAGGGGCGTCATTTACAAGAGGAAAACAGAGCTTTCTTTGCACAACCAGTGAGTATGCCTGCTTGAGGTAAGAAAGCCATTGTATATGCTGAATTAAAGAGTGGAGGAAGTTCTAGACTTGTGAAGCTTATCATCATTTGCAGGTGGCGGTAAGGTCTGGGATGATCGTGCTGCATGGTAAGACGAAGAAACGAGCTGTGCTATGGCGGGAACAGCCCCACCTGCAATTTTTCAAGCGATGGTATTATTAACTGAACACAGTAATTGGTAAATCCACACCAAAATGATTTTTAAAGGGTATCCCTAATCTTTCCACGTACTCTTGGGTGGCCTAAATGATTTTTAAATTTAAAATGTGCTAAAATGGATACTATTTCCTTATTTTATTTCATCCCACAAGTAACCTGAAGAGTGAGGTCTATCAAACAAGTCACTATTAAGATAAGCCCCGAATGATTGTTACCTTTGCAGTTGTTCATGACCTTTTCCCCAAAATTAGTTTTGATCTTGATGTAGGATTTTCAGAAATTGGACGACCAGAAAGCTAACTACCTTGATACAGTCATCTCCCCATTAACTTATCAACCAAGTTCATCAATTTGACTATTTAAAGCATTTGTGGGACGGAATAAACGACAAGGAACCATTTTGGCATTATTTGAAACTTAAGGGACCGACTTGAAACTTCAAATTACGTTTATGGCTCAAAGAAGTGATGTAACCAAAAAATTAATATTGTGGGTAGGTCTAAGTAATTTTTTTTTTTTTTTTTTAAAAGATGCGCATAGATTTCAGTCTAAGACTTCAAAATGGACATTATAAAGCATAAATAACACAAGCTCAAACTAAAAACTAAGGATCATTTAGAACGTGTAAATCAAGCAAAACAACACATTTAGAAATTTACCTGTCAGACCCGCACAGGCTGAAGAGAATACAATCACAGGTGGTGTCTGAAATGCACAGAGGTTTATGTCAATAAGATGCTCACTAACACAGTAGCATTCAAAATATTGAGCAGGCAGGAAGTATAGTCGTAAAAGTACTGCGGCGCATAGTATACATGTACAAGTTCTGTAATGCTTCCACACACAAGTTCTCAGCTTCAAATACACCAATATACTCTTAGTTCTAAACGTAGGAGGCTAGGAGCTACATAAGGAATTTGTTTTGATCTTAAAAGTAAGCCCTCAATCTTCTTTTATTGCCCTCATCTAACCCCCCCCCCCAAAAAAAAAAACCTATCTCCATTAACTGCACACATCAATATGAGTAGCTTTCAATGTAAACGATTAAAACTGAGGGGTATTTGCAGGAAACCAATGCATATTATTTATAAATAACTAACTAAACTAATTTCTTAAATATGTGTAAATTAGCTATCCAACTCCCACATTTAGGATAGGAGGTAGTACAAAAGATGCCCCGAATGCATCATTATGAACAAGCACAATCACCATATAAATCAGCACACGAGAAACTGCATTCCAAACCAGGCCACAAAATATTATATAATAGCATTAACAACCTCGGCCTACCATAATAAAAATTAAAAAATTAAACCAAGAAGAAATGACTCCACAGAATTTGGTGTTTCGGATTGTGATTCTGCTCACTGAAACCAAGTTCAGGGATTATGTTAAAGCACCTAATAAAACGGCCAGTTCAAGAATATGAAAAAAAATGCGCTACCCCCCAACCCAAAATAAAGCAAGGCAAATATCCCAATGACAATCATCCCCATCAAGAGAGTGCGTAAGTAGCAATCACGGTCACCACAAATTGATAATCTCAAGAAAAAGCTATTTGATTTTAAAGTTCTACAGCAGCAATAATTATTAACTTAGGAATGAGATATTGGTTTTCTTCTGCAACAGATTTCAAGAGCAAAATGATTTATAAAGCAGTTGTCCAAAAAGACGTCAAGGTCATGGGGGCTCTTCCGTTGACACCATATGAATGGCTAAATGCAATAAAGAGAGTCAGGCAATCCGATAAAAAGGAGCTGTTTGTTAAAAGTTTCAACTATCATGTAGAAGAAAGGCAAACATGGTCTAATTATTTCACCGAACAAGAATGATTTTAGGAGTTTGTGGCTACTCTGTGCACTCAACAATCCATGTTAAGGAAAGAAGAAAGAGGCCCAAATTCTTGGTCAAGTACATCACCATGGCCATATAATTGGCAATGATTTCAAAACTTCTATCGTGGTGCTTTTATTCCATACTACAGTATGAACAAAACATATTTAAAAAGAAGAATTGAGTCACTTACACCAACGAGAAAATGCAACCACATGGGTCCTTTCACCCATCTTCGAACAACAGGCATAACTGCATTACGGAAGAAAATCTCTTCAAATAAATTATTCATATTCTACACACGTAAATAACATGTGAATCCATGGACTTCAGGAAATCTGTGGCAGAAATCAATTAAATGACATCGTGCAATAATCCATAAAAAGAAGCAAAATATTGTGTTTATGGGTTTCTTGTTTGAAATTAACTGTCTTGGTTGTTAACATGAAAATTAAATGCTCATTCTTTCGCTTTGAAACATCAAATGTCTTCTACAAATACCATGAACAAATTATTAAAACAGTTATGATCTCATTCATCACGTTATTCAAACCAATCTACAAGAAAAATTGCAATTGATGTGCTCTTTATATTATTATGGGCAGAAAGAGTGAATACAGAACAATCAAATCTGGGCATATGACGTTAATAGTTACAAATTTCATGCAACAAGCATACCAGGTGCACCGATTGTCAAATAGTAGGAAGCAATAGAGGATGATCAATAATGAAATTCACTAGTGAAGCTCGACTACGTGAGCACAAATTGATGCATAGTAATGTTATATACCGTGGTTAAATCCATAAAATGCACTTGCCGTGCCGCCAACCGCAGAACCAATCTGCACAAAATTTGAACCCAAAAAATGATCAGTGAAAGTTCAAACGCCCATAAAACTCAGATAAATTAAGTGCTCAACTGTAAACAGATGGTCAACATTTTTTTCCCAAAGCACATATCTGAATCAAACTAACTTGGATAATAAAATTAAGCAAGCCACCAAGAACGAATAATTCACCATAGAAAAGCTATCCCTGATGAGGGGAGAAACGGTCCAATCACTGGTTTCCTGCAGATAAAGGGCAGAAATTTAACAATTGTCTGAAACCGAAAACAATTCAGGGAAGTAAGAAAAGTTGAGAAATACCATCTCTTTCGAAAGGGGTCCCGCACAGTGATGGCATCGGATGTTTTTAGTATTGGAAGAAGCGGAGCCCCTGCTACTCCGATTGGAGGCTGCCATGGCTGAGCCCTCTGTTGATCAGAGCCAGACAAGAACCCTCAAAGAGTCTCTCTCTCGTTACACTGGCTTCGGGCAGGATTTAGTGGACGCCTGAGATTTAGTTACGTGAGACCAAGGGAAGAAAATATGACCACGTCATTTTTTATTGTGGATTCTTATTGATTGATTATTCACCGTTCAGATCAGCTTGTAATTTTTCATTCCTGTAGTTCCAAAAATTTCCAATTCACGCCCGAAAATTAAAAATGGGCCCCTACAACGTCCACATCAGCAGCACAATGCTGATGTGGATGCATGGCAAGGGGTTCCGCCGCCAAATATTAAAACTCGGCGCTGGCGCACTTGTTCTTGACAAGGGACGGGGGAAGAAAAATGCGCTAAAATGAAATGTTTAATTTTTCCCGCTTATTATTTTATTAAAAAATTATTACCTATATATTTTTTAAAATATTATTTCGATTTTTTCACCAGCAAAATTTTATTTCGATTAAGGCTTAAATTTTAACAAATTATCATTATCCACCGAACTGTCAGTCACTCAACGAACTATGATCTTTTCTTGACTTTGCCGTGAACTATAATCTATTTATAGATATTCCAAATAATTTCTAATATTACAGATAATTTTTTAATGGTTATTTTAAAGAAACGATGGATTCTTATTTTAAAAAAGTGTGATAAATAATTGGACACTAAGACGTTGGAAAAATTACCGCATTCATTGTTTTTATACAAATAAAATCGAATAATCTCGTCATTGAAGCGACTCATTTGAACCCCTCTTGCGTATTTCGGCGTACATGCATAAAGGAGATAAAAATAGGGATCATCGGGATATGAATTATATTTAATAAGTGCTGCTCACAGTTTTATATATATATATTACATAACAATAATTGTTCGATAGCTATTTAACACAAAATACAAGTAAATGAACTTGGAAAATGCCTACACTCCCTGATTTTTTGACATGCTCTAACCTGCAAAAACCAGGACCTAAAAGGGCTGCAAATCTTGTCAGCACAGAATTTTAATAAAGTTCCGCGTAGTCTGCTTTCTTCCGGCAGAATGCTTTTTTGTTTTTTTTTGGCCGGGATTCCTGCGGCATTTAAGAAGCGTATGACGGATATACATTGATCATTTGATCTACAGGGGGAAAAGGACTAAATAGAAGACGATAAATAGTTTCTCGGCAAAGATTTGCAGCAAGAAAATTTTCTCGGGGAATCCCTCTCTTCAAGAAATCTACCATCTCTACTCATGCAGCCAAAGTTGCACTTAGTTTTTTCTAGCCAAAACCATAATGTTTCGAGTGAGAGCATGTCATCCACATGATTCCCCCATCGAGGGATCATCACTTCAATGTTCCACCCTCTTGCTTAATGAAAACTTTATATCCTTGTGAGATTTGTACTAAATTACGTGAATCTTATAGGTTAGCATTTTCTATCCTCCATAAACAATCTTCTCTCAGAGGTGAGTCTGCGAATATAGCCTTGATAAAATCTTCCACCTGCAAAAGATGTAATCGATAAGAATGCAAACGTTCATGAACCTTGGTTCCATTCCCATATTGTAATCTTACCCCCATGCGAATCAGTAAGAAAGCAAAATCAGGAAGAAGGGAAATGAACATGCAGCATAATTTTTCTTAGGGCATAGAGTACACGTTAATTTACTAACATAAATGCAATTTGCTAGCATAACCTGTTCGTTTGTTAGTAATGCAAGCAATTTTGAATACAAAAACATTAAAGTAAATAAATTAGGAAGTGTCTGATTTTGGAGACGACTTCGTCCCAAAAAAAAATTGCAGAGGAAGAAATTTGAAACCATATAAAGGAAAAAGTGGGAATGGTGGGTCCCAATGAAGCGTGAACCTTGGATCTGAGAGAGTAAACCAAGAAGATGGTTTGGGTGATAAATTAGATGCTAAGTGAAATTTTAGCATATCCCAGTAAAAAAAAAATCAAAAATTAAGTTTTACATAATTAAATATATTCAAACATTCAATTCGAAGAGAAAGGAAGGTATACTACAATGGTAGCACAGAAGTAATCCGTAAGGGCAAAAAGTGAAAGAGTCTCCTCAGAGAATGTTTCAAATCCCAAACTAATTACGAGATGGAAGGGTAGTGAAAGAAATATGATGTCCAAACAAAGTCAATATGAATCAAACAATACCTCAGTTATTGTAAAGCCACAAGACAGCAATTCTTTATTCTCCCAAGCTGCTGTGATGGATTTTAAAGGCATATCTAATAATTCTGATGCATGTTAATATGAAAATATTAGTTAACAGATAAGTGATGATCTAACAACCATCTTATACAGAAAATTGGTAGGTGATGGGACATGCCTGATAGTTTGCGAATTTTACGTAATGATGGGATAAGATCATCAAGAGACTCTAGAGAGAAATCATATGACTTCCGATCCACAGCAAGCAGGGACTCAAATAAAGATGACAGATTTTCCAGCATCATATGAATAAGTCTTTGTAGCTGAATATGAGTGGAATGTATTAGAATGACTTCTAAAACCAAAATGATAGCTATGCTAACTTCTGGTCTGAACTCTACCTGCAATGTCTCATCTGCTGCCATGTCATCTAAGAAAAGTATATCTCTTGTAATTCTTAAGAAAACTGACTCTAAAACAGCACACATGCTTTTCCTGTAAGTTGAGGGCATCAAAAGTGGCTCCCATATGATGTGTACTTTCTCCAGAACGAATACAACCTGATCAACCATATTCAGCTCCAATTCATCCACGAAATTAAAAACACTTCAACTAATGCAAGTAAACAATGGCAACAAACCAGTGTACATGACAACAGAGAGTAGACAGATAAAAGATGAAGTAAAAAAATGATTAAACAACTTCCACAAAACAGATTACAGTATGCAAGTGTTTTTGACAAGTTACTTGATCTATGCTAAATTTCGCTGATTCAAATTGCTGCATCTGATGAGTATTCTGGAATCCGCCAGCACCATCTATAGCCTGCAAGAATAAAGATAAAAATAGGAGAAAGTGACAGGATGTCAAGGCAGAGTGCAAACCAAAACTTCATGCCATGTGATGAGGTGATACTCTACTTATGATGAAAATACTTTAGGAAAGAGTACCTCCTTCAAGTTAAAGATAACCAGATGTATTTGTCTTTGTAGTATTTCTTCTGCCATGAGCTGAAATCTTGGAGCTAGATCGACAAACACAGCGTGCTCCTTGATGGAATCTGGGAAATCTGTACGATACTGAGACAAGAGAGTCCAAATCCATGAGCCAAAAGAAAATACAAAGAACATAATATCAGCAAGACAATTTACATTCAATATTTCTTTGAATTTTTCCTTTCTTGAAAATCCGATAGATAAAATGGAGAATAATGTGACTTGAGTAAATGCTACAATCTCACATTAAATAAACTCTTTTACTTTAAATTAATCCATAATAAAGTTAAAAAAAATTCCATGATTAAAAAATACAAAACTAGTTTGTAATCAGAATTTACTTATTCTCAATTATTGAAGCTTACCTCAAATGCAAGTCCAAGTATCTCTTGGGATAAATAAAGACAGTCATTGTGCATCAGTACAGCTACTTGATTAATGCTATCAAGCTGCCTTTCTAGCTTCACAAGTCAAACATAGAATTATTAATAAAAGCAGAACAGTCACATGACATCTAAGTGCAGCAATAAACGTGAATTGAGTTGGCCATAGCTTTAACTATCCCATCCAAGCATCTATCTTTGCCTAATAATCCTGATTTTCTTATCCTGATAGGTTATTAGATATCCCAGTCATCCAAAATACAAATGCATAACTTATTTATGATAAATTCCCAACACCGGGTAATTAGAATTTACAAGTATTAATACCACATTGTATATATTCCAGTCTCATCCATTCCCATGCTACATTAGAATATCTTCTATAAAACATGCATGTATAATCGAGTTTGCAAGGAACTGTCCTCTAAGTAGTTGGTTGTAAAGTCCGTAATGTGCTCCATTATGGTATATTAATATTAGCTCTCCAAGATCCAAGAAGCACCTCAGCTCCGTAAAAAATAATATAAAATAAAATAAAGCTCCAAAGAGCACCACCGCCATCCATATTAAGAATAAACTAGAGATTCATCTCGGCTAAAGGCCTGAAAACATACAAGTAATACTGGAAAAGACATTACTTGAGAATAATCAACATCAATGTGACTTTCAATTTTGAGTCACTTCAATATATTTTAGCCAACAAAACTACTCCAAAAATATAAAAATACTAAATTCAGTATCAAGACCTGTCCAGTATGCCACCGCCGTACATGAACTAACCTTGACAGGGACAACAACTTCATAAAGAAGTATAGCATCTCTAGCCGCATGATAAAATTCCAAAGCAACTCTTGTAGATGATAGGCAAACGTCCTGTAAGACATTGCCATTTATCAAGATGAATGTCTCTACAAAATATTGTAAGTCAATTAACTGAACAGCATGGAATTCGAAAGCACTCATAAAAATAGGTTATATAGCAATAAAGGAGCTCAAACATACACTGGCAACGGAACAATACAATGCACATAAAATATTCAATATTCAACATAATGCAGAACGCATAAAATGTTTGTTGTTCTGGCTTGTACCTGCAGTATCTGATGAACTAGTTCCATCAATTGTTTAGCTGCCTCGGACACCAAACACCTTTCTGATAAGAATAATAAGTCAACAACATGGTTGGATGACTGATTAGAAGTTTCATGGTTCTTCCAATTAGGGCCATCCCTTGTATACTCCTGAAGCAGCATTCATTGTCAATACCCATGATGTCATGACATAGAACAGAATGATTAACCAGAGCTGGAAAACTCACTTTAGGAATGGCAAAGTCACAACCCAGCAGCAGATTTCTAGCCTTTGCCAAGATCTCAATCTTTTTCTTAGATGCAAAGTGAACCTCAACATTCTCAGAAAAATTGCTCAGCCTATTACCCTTGTCATCAGATGCTGAAATAAACATGATTTCTTTTAAGGCGGTCTCAAAATCTGATGTACATTTGATTATCTTCTGAAAGTCCGGAAGTTTTGATGCATCTGTGGGGACAACCTGAAATAAAAAATTTCAAGTGATTTTATCTGCAAGCTTTAAATAGTTTTTCTAAAAATAAATCTATACATAAATATTAGATCCACCGGCTGGAATGGCAGACATTGCACCAGTTTGCAGGCAACAGCAGCTCCCAAATAAATTTTAATTTACCTATGTAGTATTGATTTGATAAAGGTCTTTTTAGAAGAATTACATGGAAAGAATTATGACACAGTGCGTAGAAGCAAACCTTTGAAAGAAAGCTAGATATTATCAATTCTGATATTCTGGGCCACATCAAACGTCCAAAACACTGTATCCAAGAAGCATTTTGGTAGCAAATGCTTCTGTGAATAAATTTAATAACTAGTAGAATCCTTGAATAGAGGAAATCTCCATCCGAATTTTCAATCTGCCAATTGGAAAAGCAGACATTTAGGAAAAGTCCATGGCAGTTAAGTAACAGGAACATGAAGTCAACCCTTACTGTCAACAAAAGAAAAAAAAATCATGCAATATAAAGGAAAATCGATCGAAGTCATGCCAGCAACATGCTGTTCAACATTTGACTCTAACAAAAACAATATTTTCTCATAAGCAGAGGTGAACATATAATCAATATCATTATCATCAATATTAATATAAATTACAAAATAGGTAGGGAGATGCACTTCTCACAAGTTGCGTACAGTTTGGCTCAATCTTGAGCTCTATGTAGCTGCACTGGGACCTACCTATTGTATTTTAAAACCTTGTAAATGCTTGGATCCTTTTAGACATCAATGATTGGAAATGCTTGCCAGTTCATTCAAGAAATCAGTAATCAATAAATGAGATTGGCATTCTTTCAGGCCGGGGGTAAGCTCAACAACATAACCTGGAGAGAACCCATCCTACCTTTTTCTATGACATATATATCACTACTGACAGCTTTGCGATGAGCCAATGACCTAAAAGGCATAAAAGCACAAAAATTATGAAATCATAAAGTGAAACGCTTACTTTAGCATCTTCAGATGGGACGGTCTTCAATACTGCTGACTCTTCATTCAATTCCTCTAGAAATGAAACAGGCTGTCCGGCATTGAGGAATGGAGTAATGATATACTTGATCATCAAATCAGCGATTTTAGTGAGCCCATATTCTTGAATGCCAACCACCTATAAGCAGTGTTTAATTAGGAAAGGAATGAATTCATACAATTTAGGCCATCAAATACGGGGTATAGTACCAAAACGAATGAGCTTACTTCCATTGCCTCCATAACTGTCAGGAGTTCAATGCCATTAATACCATCAACTTCCAAATGATACTTGACTTGAACTCGATTAGATTTCCCATCAAATTGCACAGCCTTTTCCATTAATTTTAATAAGACCTCTTGAATCTACAAACCCAAAACAAACCAAATTCCTCTAAATACAATCACAAATTCAGTGAAAGTCACAAACTATCTAATCATCAGTACTATGAAATAATCAAACACATCATATGAAGGGAAAGTGTAAAACACAACATATTGTTAATCATGCTGCCAATACAATTTGATTATAGCCATAAAAAGAAATATGAGTTGATTTTAATAAGAAAGTGTAAAAAACAAGTTTACTATACCGGGCTCATTATTATTTCGAAAGAAAGAAAGAAAAAGGTATCCAGGCCTCAAAGACTGATGGACAAACTCTCAGACTGAGGAAAGAGAAAGGAATGAAATAAAAGCAGGAACACCCAAAGGCAAAACGGAATTCAAAGCTAATTACAGAGGTAGAATATAAAACATTTCTCATCCAGATAGCTTAGCATGTAACCTACATTTGAGAAAGATAGAATGTAAATATATGGTGATATTGCAGTGCATCTTGTCTTTGTTCATCCAACAATTTTATTTGCTATAACCTACCTCAATTTTGCAAACAAATTCTAGGCATACTTTTTATCATGTTCAATAAATTTTCGTAACCATGCTTTCTTTTTCTTGCGGACAAGTTCTCCTTTAAATTCTCTAAGATTTCACTTGAAAGACAAATTTAATCAAAAGTACCAACATTTCTAAGTACCTAATGATTTAAGGTTCCATATTCGAGAGAGGTGTCAAAGTGTTGTATCAATTTATTTCTGAAGCTAAAACCTGCAGTAAACCTCGGCTCTCCTATTTAAGAATTTAGAGCATCATGTGTCAAAGAAATTTTCCTTAACTCTACATTCTCAGCAATAATCTCAGAGCTTAAAACTTAAGCACAATTAAAGAATAGCTGGGAAAAAAAAACATAAGGAAAGAGAATTGAGTACCTCTTCAAAGGATTGAGACCACTCCTTCCTCAATAAACCATATACCACTGGCTCCTTACCATCAACCCCATGATTATCATCATCAGCAATCCCCAAACCCATTTTCAAGTCTCTCAAACCCTCAGCAGCAAATTTTAGTCTGCCATTCGTCAATCCATCCCTCACACCCTTCAACCTCCCATTCACTTCCACAATGGTTTTCACCAGTCCCAGCAGCTCCCTCTTTACCTTCAGCTCCTCTCTCTTACTCTTCATCTCCTCCAACACCTCGCGTACTGCAGTGTCAGCCGGAGAATCAGAAAGTAACCGCAAGATGTTGGAAACGCCATCTGAGATCTGATGGGACTGTGAAACGGAGTCGTTGCAGAGTGAGAACAGGTTGGCAAAGTCCTCGTTGTGAGAGACGAGATAAGACTGAACTTTCGATTTAATGTGCAGAGAATGGGACTCTAGACGCTGGATGAGGAGGCGGAGATCAGGCGCAGAGAGAGGGGAGGTAGGGTCAGAGAGGTCTTGGGTGGATAGAAGATCTCGGACATTGATAGTGTCGAAGAGAGACTCCATTTGGGGGGGGGGGGTTCAGACGGCGGTGGACAGCAGAGCGTTACAGCATGAATGAGGTTGAAAATGGCGCAATCAGGAGAAGTTCGCCGTGGAAATGTTAACGTGATTGACGAGCAACCATACCATGGCAACACAGAACTAGTCCTGTTGTTCCCAAAACACTTTATGAAGTCAATGTTGCATTCATAGCTAAAAAGATGAAATAAAAAGAAAAACCAGTTTAAAGGAATATATAGGAAGAAAACTATATACTAATGAGTTAACAATCATATTGTGTGGGTCTTCAAAAGACGGAAACCTTTGATCAAGCATAGCAACTAAATAAGTCATACCATAAATCTTACCATCATCCGCAATTGCTATTCCCCCTATACCACAATGATATTACATCGTTTTGCAATGCTTCAAGAAAACACAAAACAAATCCATGCTATATATAACAGAAACCTTTGTAATACATAGCAGCAGCAAATTTGGGATTCTCCCCAAGAATGTAACTAGAAAATTAACACAACCAAAAACTAACTTCACAAATCAAAATATACATTCTCCAATTTTCAATAAGTCCTTAGTTCCGCAGTGGATTCGGAGAAGTGAGAAAGAACCAAACGATTGCTGCAGACGAAGCAACAAAATAAAGTACCTCTTGAACGCAATGCACACAAATGTCTCGAATACTGCACATCACTATAAGACAAATCTTTTCCTTCTGGAGACCGATTCCGAACGTATATCCAACGCCATGCGTCACTTGCTTCCTGCAACGATTTGACGACAACCAGAGAAAAGGATGATCGGAAAGAAGGAAAATGAAGAAGAGCGCACCGCCGAAAGGAGGGAGAAAAGCAAAACGGCGGGTGGACTCTAATTCAGGACGAAAGCAGAGAAAGACGTGGACGGATGAGATCACGCTTAAAAATAGACGGTCACGATTTCACCATTTAAGGGGGTTTAAGTCATATCCATTTTGGCGACTGAGCACCTGAGTAAGCAGAACAAAGAATGTCCGCAGTGCAAATTGTCTCTACTTCCTCTTCATTTACATAAAACGACGCCGTTTTGTCTCCTTTCAACAGTCCAGGATATTTTATTCTTGCAATGGCCCGTTTTGCTGCAAAAAGATCTGATTTCTCCTCTGGAAGTTAAGGCCATCAAATGTCGGGGTATCACTTCACTTCATGGTGAATATTTTATGTACGCAAAATTTGAGTTCTTTCTCCTACGATATAAAAAAAAAAAAAACACAGCTTTCAACAAGCCCAACCCCAAAAAAAAAATTGCAGTGATAATATATTGAAAAACCCCCTAATATCATGTGAAGAGGTATTTGAATGGAAGTTGCCTTGAATAATTAACTATCTTTAGTGTCAAGTTTTAAAATGCAAAAATTAAACTAGAATTTAGCTACCCAAGAACTAGCATCCAGCATAACTTTAATAGAGACTCATCAAACAGCCTTAAGCGGAGAAGGAGAAGGAACTTGGAGAGAGATATATGTATAGACGCACACATCTGAACGTTAGGGGAGTGATTTTATTAGATGAGGATTGAGCAGAGAAGGCATGTGACAACGGAAGGGTGAAAGCAAGCGAAGGTGAAAAGTGAATACCATGTCTCATGAAAGGAATCTTGCCTGCCCAAATGACGATGAGATATGAGCGACGGCGCTAAATTGTTTTTTTTTTCTTTTAACGTAAGAGGATAGCATTCTGCAGTAAAACGGCGTCACTGCATATATAAAAGACGTTGGATTGCTGAAAAGCCAGAAGACGGTGTCGTTTTATTTAAATAGAGAGGAAGTAGAGACAACGTGCAATAGAGACATTCTACTCTGTGACTATGCATGCTACATGTACGTGAGAGGAGGAGGATGAAAATAAAAAGCAGAAATATTTTATATTTTAAAATAAAAAACAAAAAAATGTTTCATAATTTAAAAGAATGCTTAAATCGATTCTCAATAAAACATATGAATTGATATGATACGTAGGGAAAAAAAATCCGATCAGAAAATATACCTTTTAAAATTAAAAAACTAATTCAAAAACTTACATGAAATTAGTTGATTAAATGTATACTTCAGCTTATTATTTATTTATTCATTTATTTTTGTATCAAATAATTCATAATTCATAAGTTTAGTTGATGCTTAAATTCAAAGAAATTGTCATTTTTGACCGAACAAAAAGTCTGTCACTCACAACAACGTTTAAACAATTATTATAATCCATCTATAGATATTCCAAATAAGTTAAAACATTATATATATGATTATTTCTAAAAAGAAAAAAGTCCTTTTTTTTTAGAAAAAAAGAAAACCGTGACAAGTAAATGAAAATTAAAAGAAGTTGGAAACACAAACTACTTTTTGTCTTTTATGCATATAAAATGAATAATTTGGTTTCTTTAAAGAGACCTATTTGAGGCCCTCTCAGTAAAGGGGAGATGATGATAAGAATGGGGAACTGTAGTGTCATACTATGAGCACTTTTTACAACTCAAACTCTCACAATAAGGATAGGAGGATAAGAGTTATCAAATATCTATCAATGCCCATCCTATCCCACATATTCTGGCATATGTGTGTGCAACACAAGCGCAAAACTGATAGATACATGCAGCGCAATGCATTGTATAGATGCTGTAACTCTGTTTCCAATAAGAAACAAACAGAAAGTGGGGAATAAAGTGACCCCACACACTGTAACATCGCAACTTTGTCTTTGGGTTTTAGGTTCTTTTTGGTTGTGTTCTTCTGTTTCATTATTTCTGCATTTTTATGGATCAAGCACATCACTTGCTAACGTGGAGAATAAGCTTCACTATAAAAAAAATTCTGTTTGTGTGTGTGTGTGATCATAGATCTAATTTTCTTAGAACACGCATATGTAAACTTGAATATCACTTCATCAGATCACAACACAAATAATCTCATCTCTCAAACTTAGTAAATGCTATCACTAGCTTTTGGCTAGATGGCATTTCTGAAGTGGAAGAATCTAGATTTAAATATCAGTCCAAGCCTATTTAACCAAAAGCAAAGACAAGAAATTTTGGTGAACGGTGGCCATGCAAGATTATGGTAGCTCTTTCCTCTGACTCATAAAGACATTCTTCCTTCCTCTTCTGACAAGAATGAAATATACAGATTTTAAAATGGAAGTTCTCAAATTTAATGGTTTGAGCATTTAATTCCTTTTTCCCCTCGGGGACAATTGCTGTCATTTTATTTGATGGTATATGTACCTGTATGAATCATCTTCCAGGAAGTGGGAACTCTTTACCTTGTGCCTTTTTATCCAACGAATCCTATTCTTTGATTTCTTTCTCAAAATGTTTTTGATATCTGCATATCATGAAATTTCATCCAAAGTCCCTTAAATCATCCAATCAGATCTAACATGCATGGTCTCATTGGAAGAATTACCGCAATCAAATACAGTAAATCTTCACAAAAGAAAAAAGACAGTCTAACAGGATATAGCTAGTTGATAAATAAATTAAAAAAAAAAAAAAGTTGATCACAGACTTGGACAGATGGATCCTTATTCCAACTATGAGAAACAAAGTGGGAAGAAGCAAGTGGAAAAAGGTACTGGAATCATCCCAATGAAGAGACAGATAGACAGGAATCACAATGGAGAGAAGTGCAAATGTCAACCAGGTCACTTCCTAGAAGCATGATGGGTAAAAAGCAGAAGGCAAGCCCAAATCTTATAAGAACATTAAACAATCCATAAAAATAGCAATCCCCCTGAAAAAGATAACAGTATTATTAAACTTAAGGAGATGGCAGTCATAAGTTATAATATTGAATGCTTCTTCAAGGGCATCTGATTACATCAGGTAAAAAGATGGTGTGGGGATGTGAGAATCCATTTTTTGTGGCTTTCGGAGAAGAAGAATAACCATATTCTTTGCTTGAGAATATGACCTATAGGCTTTAGTCTGAGTTAAGATTCTCATCTTTTTATTCCCCAGCATCTTTGAAACTTTCATTTTCTCTACTTTTTTTTCCCTTTCTTCTTTTCCCCGTGAGAATAGCATTCCGTGGTCATTTCTCGCTTGGCATTTCATCCAATGCCATCATGGTAACAACAAAATCACAGTCCAGCGGTTGAGATGAGTATGTGATGTATGATTGGCCATGCAGCCTTAAGAGTTAAGATCGAATCTTATTTAAGCTAATTTCTTGGAGTAAGGACACATTGAATTTCCTTTTTTCTTTCTTTCACAACACTTGAAAATATAGAATAAGGGCAAGAAAAAAGGAAGTAAAATGCCACCATTTACTGTCCCTGCAAATAGTTTAGCTTATAATTGACCAGCAGCCTTCAAGTTGATTCTCATACATGCCCTTTTGTGCTGCTCATTGGAAGTTCTTCCTTGCACTTAAAAGTGAATCAATCTATGATAATATAACAAAGAAATTTAAGTACGAAGAAGAATAAAAACTATGTCCACTGGCATGGGTGGGGCCCCCACCATATTGAAGAAGGTAAAGGAAGACGGATGGATTGGAAACTACTAGCCAAAAAAGCTAAGTAATCCACTGTACAAGACATACTCATAAAGGAGCACAAGACTTGAAAGTAATAAGGACAGATTTAAAGCATCAACTGAGGATGACTGCCAATATGGGAAAGATGGTCCTCTAGAAACTTGATATGAAAGCTGCAGAGCAAAGTTATTCCGTATGTCACAGCTTTACAGTTTCTATAAATTATCAACACCCCTGAACAGCACCAAAACATACTCTTATGAAAGATTTAGAAGCCAAATATTCAGCAAATGGTTAATTATGACTGCATCAAAAAAAAAAAACACACACACACACACTAATACATCATTGACACTGCCAAGTGCAGAACCTATTATTTGGACGGTCGACAATGATATAAAATAAACAAGCAACACGCTAATTGGTAGATGCAATGGGTAAAAGTAGGCATAAAGTTAATTTCCTTTATTCTCTTCCATTTCCATCCTCTGTTTTAGTAAGTCATAAACTGATAATACACCTTAAATATACTTAAATGACTGAGACATACTGAGTTGAATTGCATTGATAAAAGAGAAGGGTTTGCTGTTCACTTTTAAAATCTTGTAGGGGTTTAAATAGTGTCAAAGATAGCATCTTCAAAATATGTTTTCTGAGAACTAGTAATAGCCTGTTTCTTGCTTCATGCTTAGATCAGCATGACGCCATCAGACCTAATAATATATCAGACTGGTATATTTTTGCAGCACAAAACTAATGCTGGACATCTGATGGCTAGAGTAGGTAATTTCATTACACGATCAGATAACATAAATTCTTCAAGCTGTCATGAAAGGTTTCTCCTATTGTGATACAGAGAATTTGCCATGTGGCTATATCAAGTCCATCTGAGGGAGCAAATTCGATATCAAGATATGAGAGCACCAAATCAATCCTCTTGCCCAAATTATTCCAATCCACATGACAGAAAACTACTTAGGAACTCAGCTTTAACTTTACCCACAGATTCCCTACGGCCACATTAAATATTCCAAAAATCAGAATCAAGAACAAGAATGAGGAGAAGTGATGCGAAGATACTGTTCAAGGAATCTTCAGTTTATTTCTCTCTATGGTTATTAAGTTATCTATAAATAATAAATGTTTGCCTCACAGATCTCTTTATTGCCTGATGAATGTGTACTGGAATATCAGATACAGTTTATGAATAAGCTTCTACTTTTATACTAGTGTCCAACAACAAGTGGTTTGGTCTTTTATGACATATATAGGTAATCAAACTTATTCTGCATTAGCTGGTGATCATTATATTATACTCCTGACGTTTTGGTCATGTATTACTTCATTACTTTCTATTATTGTAAAACATAATCTCTCCTATTTAAGTAATGCAGACATACATGCAGTTGACACATGAATTGCTTGTGGATTGCGTTTGTCTTAAAACTGAATCAGATTCTATAATACAAATTTTAAGTGGTTTAGCATTGGATGTGCCATGCACTTACTGTTCCCACATGCACAGCTCCACATACACTAATCCATCCATTGCCCAACACTCTGATACGCATCTGTTTGGACAACTTTATTTTTTTTATCATTTGTATCTAACTACACAATTATGATTTCTGAGTAGGATTTTGGTAAAAGTTCCGTCAAGAAGCGCTTTAACTCAAAAGCTTAAATTGTCAAACAAAAGCCCATGAGTGGTTTTATTATAAGATCTAACACGCTATCAAAAATCCTTTAGACTTAATTAAGAGAAAAAGAAATGACGAGGATTGAACTCCAAATCATTTGATCACAAAACTCATGGATCAAACTTAAAATTATTTGGTTAGAGAAACTCCTGATAGCATGTCATTTAGTACTCTGACTTTAAAAGTTTAAGCGGTTAAGTGAAGGGCTAAGAATGGTTTTATTATAATTTGTAAAGAGTTCTAGAGGATAAGCACAGACGGAAAAATGGATGGATTCATATATGAGAATCTGCTTCATTAACCGAGGTACAAGTCAAGGGAAGAGGCGAGTGGTCTTTTGCTGTAGTACTGTATTTAACCAAAAGCAAGTATAGAAGAAAGTACAATCTTCGCTTTCTCTTTATAATCAGGTCCCACCTGCTTAGGATTCCAGAGGATGGGTCCTGCGTTTTTGTGCCAAACAAAGAATGAATAATTCAGGGCCCATCCTTCTCCTATTTTATACGGTGGGGGCTGAATAAGTACCAAACTTATTGAAGCAGACAAAACAGAACGTATTCTTATTCTATTCCTTACCTCCACAAGCAGTCCCATGGGAAGCATCTTCTCAAATTTTTATTTTATGTTATTTTATTGTATCTTTTTCTTGCATCGGTTGCTGCAGATTTTCAAGATGCTTTAGCCAATGGATTCTTTCCTCAAGGTTCCCGTGTTCAACCAATTAATACGTTCTTTCATGTCTTTGTTTGCTTCCTTTACCGTAGATAACTGTTCAGCTAGAATAAAACCCACTTCATCATGCCAACAAAGAGCTAAGTACGTTAAGGACTGATAAAATGACCCCAAGATCAAATTAAGGAACTGAAGATTTAATCTTTAATTTCCAAGTCCAACGCCATTAGAACCAAACAAGTTAAAAGGATGAGCCTTGGTGGTTCCAAGTCGAGAGGGATATCGGCTTCCCCGGAACAGAGTCAGAGAAATGGGAGGGGGGGGATCCTCTTTCAAATTTGGGAATACGATTCCTACTTTAGTCTAGCAAACGAATAAGAATGTCAGTGGGTTAAAATTTGAAGGATCAATTCTGGAACCTAATGCAAGGTCTGAGGTGTTTAGGAAGTTTGTATTTGCAGTCTGAGAATGGAAAATGGAACGAGGACAGGGCCCACACAAGTTAGCAAAGGTAGGAAGGAATAATATCTCTATTTCTCAGGTCACCACACAAAAAGGATTAAGTTTGGTTTTCAATTGGTTCTATCCAAAGATTCCATGCGTTACTTACTAACTCCCTCACCTTCTCTCAGATATAAATATCAGTATGGCATGCCTCCTGGTGAGGACATATGGGAAGAAAAGAAACAAGACAAGCACAACAAGAAGTTTGTTAATTTGTTTGTGTCAGGCCAAGCAATACTAGTTGAAAATAGAGAATTATCAAGTTCCACGTCCACATTCCATAGTTAGCAGAGCAACCCAGAGAATAGAATCATGTATCACCATCACCAACACCAAGGAAAGAACATCCATTCTTCTTCTTCCAGAATGCCAATCTCAGCTGAGAGGCACATGTTCCTTCAAACTGGAAATGGCTCTGGTGATTCTGGACTTGTCCTCTCCACTGATGCTAAACCCAGATTGAAATGGACAGCAGATCTACATGCCAGGTTTATAGAAGCGGTCAATCAGCTAGGCGGAGCTGACAGTGAGTACTCACAATCTTCTAGTGAATGGTCATAACAATGTCATGTTCTGTAGAATTTTTGATTCACTAATGCAGAGTACAATCCTTTTCCCTGCAGAGGCTACTCCTAAGACAGTAATGAAGCTCATGGGGATTCCAGGGCTCACTTTGTATCATCTAAAGAGCCATCTTCAGGTAATAATCTTAAGTGTCTGAATTATAAATTTTTTTAATTGCAAGATTGTCAATTTAGATCTGCCATATCAAATGCATGTATTTTTTATCAGTCATCAAGTGGTATCTTAGCCTCAATCTCCCCCTCAAGAAGAGAAAGTAGCATTCACAGCTAATCAATTATAGTTCATGCTAACCAAAATCTCCACTTACGGAATAACTGGCTTTTGTATTATCAATATAAGTTCGATCTTAAAAGCTGCAAGAAAAGGTTCATTAATACAAATTAAAAAGGTTGGCGTCCTTATGTTCTCCTCGTTCCTCTATTCATAGATTAAATTTTGAAAATCACCAACTTTTTCCAGCTTCTTCTTTTTTTTTTTGTTGTTGAATATTTTCCACCTTCATTTTAAGTAACTAACTCAAATATTTCAGAAGTGATTACATCTACATCACAGATCATATTGAAGGAACAAATTGCATGTATAAATTATGTGTGAAACATTATCACATCCATGATTCACCATAATCTGTCATATTCTTCCAGATGCTTCATATTTAGTCATGAAATTACTAGTATGGAATATATTGTATGGCTTCGCTAATTAAATTGCCGTTTGGTTGGCCAAAAAACAAATTTAATCGCCATTTTAACGCCCGTCTCATATATTTTGTATAGTCTGCACTAAACCTATTAACATCCTTTTCTCCTTAAGTTGTGTGGCATGAAATTCGCACAACAATTGCTAATCCCTTCCTTTTATCTTCAGAAGTATAGATTGAGCAAGAATCTGCATGGACAAAGTAACAACGTGACACACAAAATCAGTAAGAGAACAAAATCTCCTCCACTTCTTAATTTGATGACGAGCAAATTATGAACAACAAAACTTTGTTCATGAAGAACAAACGTATCTTACCAGCAATTAATGCAGGTGCAGCAACGGGGGAAAGACTTCCTGAAACAGGTGGAACTCATATGAATAATCTAAACCTCTCGCCACAGGCTAACAAGTGAGAAAAATTCACCATTTTCACATGCTTTTTCTATGAATCAGAAATTTTTAATCACTTCGGGTTCTAACATCCAGTGCTCTTTTCCCAGAGATTTACACATAAGCGAGGCCCTGCAGATGCAGATTGAGGTGCAGAGAAGGCTAAATGAACAACTTGAGGTGTGAGTCGCTACTATCATGCAAGATTTTTTTTCCTTTTATCCATTAAAGTTCTAAACGAAAACTTCCACTGACATTGTTAAATCAATTCGTTAGTGCATATAGTTTTTCACTTAATTTTGAATTTCATTTCCACAATCTAAGAGTGAATAATTGAGTTATTACTGCTCATGAGCTTGTTTTATGAAAAACGTACAAGATGGTTATTTGATAGGGGATTGCCAATTGACACATGTTATTTAACGTGGATGACATCACAAATTACACAACTCAATTAAATCTATTATCCAGTTCATCCCTTTTAGTTGATATGAATAACATGCATGCCACGTAATTAGTTTAGCAGAACTTAATAACACACAAGTGTTTTGATCACAGAGATCAAATTATAAGATATCAATTTCATATTTTTAATAAGTCAAACAAAAAATTAGGTGGAGTGGTCGAGAGAATCATAATTTATCCTGGCTCCTTGTTTTATACAGTTCTAAAGTCTCTTCAGACTTTGAAAAACTGACAAAATCATTCTGAACCCATCCAGGTACAGAGACACTTGCAGCTTCGCATAGAGGCCCAAGGGAAATACCTGCAGGCTGTGCTTGAGAAAGCTCAAGAAACACTTGGTAGACAGAATTTAGGGATGGTGGGACTTGAAACAGCAAAAGTTCAACTCTCAGAGCTTGTATCCAAAGTATCTTCTCAGTGCTTGAGTTCTGCTTTTTCAGAACTGAAGGAGCTACAAGGATTCTACCCACAGCAAACACAAAACAACCAGCCAACCGACTGCTCAATGGACAGCTGCCTCACATCCTGCGATGGATCTCAAAAGGAACAAGAAATACAAAATCCAGGGATGGGTTTAAGATCCTTCAATGGCCATACGTTCATGGAAAGAAAGGAAGCCATGGAAGCACCCATCTTGAGGAACTCCGAGCTCAAGTGGCGTGATGAAGTGAAAAAGAACAGCACATTTCTGAGCAACCCATTGGGCAAAACTGCCGAAAGAAGGGGTTATGCTGCAGAAAGAAGTCCCAGTGACTTATCTATGAGCATCGGACTTGAAAGAGAAAGTGAGAATAATGGAAGCAGCATGTTTCCTGAGAGATTAATGATGGGGAGAGAATCAGATGGTGAATTCCCACACCGAAACACAAGTAAGCCAGAATCGACAAAACCACTGCAAGAGAAGGTCCCTCAGGAGTATAGATTGCCTTACTTTGCAGCATCAAGACTCGACCTGAACACCCGTGAAGAAAACGATGCTGCGATGAGCTGCAAACAACTGGATTTGAATGGATTCAGCTGGAGCTGAAGAAACATTGTGAATGAAATGCGGAAATGGCAGGATTATTCATGTATTGATTATTATTACAGTATGAGATGCCTGCTCTTTGGTGTCAGCTCAAGTGTTGAAATATGAGCTATTTTTAGCAGAGTCAAAATAAGTTGCTACAACCAAGAGTAATATCGATCAATTTGAAACCAGACGTTAAAAATGGAGATACCAACCAAGAAATGAAGTTTCATTCCTGTAAGGTTATTCAAAAATGTTCATTATACAATCAAGCATGGCATTTAACAAACATGAAATATGCACTTCCATGGGGCATAGTTGAGAACGGCAGTACAGAGAGGGGGGGGGGGATCCATTTTTACTTAGTCAAGTGGTTGCTCAAGATCAAAGGTTAAACCCCAGTCCAAAATATGACTAATCTACGTGTAATCTTTGATCTTCCTTTGAAATATAGAGACCTCAACTATAACTTTGATTTATTTTTTATAATAGAATTTGTCATTAATGAATTCGTTTGGCCGTTGGTACATTTATTCCTTTAAAAAAATATCTGCCCGACTCGTTTCATTCTGGCCCCCATCTCTCCCATCAACAATAAATTTGGATAGTGCTTCCTTTGACACCTCAGGACTACAGTCATGTATGAATCATTATTGGACATGTTCTATTTATAGTTAATTAATTAATTTACTGTTTAAGCAGGTCTGATGAAAAGTAGATCAAGCTCATAATAAATGCAACCACAAGACAAACAAGTATACTTTTATGTTAATGCATCCCGCCACGCAATTGATATCTGTGCTGAAACATCTTTCTAAAATTGATTTCAATATGTTAATTCTTTCTTAGTAAATAAAGTTCACTGAAAAAGTTGATTCTGTATATATGTGTTTGTACACATGTACACGTATATTATATTTTTAAATGAATATATACTTATATTAATAATTTATTACACTGCTTTCTAGATTTTTAATAAACTAAAATCTATTTTACACATTTTAATCAATCTATATTAACATGCGAAAAAACACATACTGAGAAAGTTTCTACACACACAAATATATATATGTCTACAAATGAGAGCTTAATTTTTTAAAAAACAAAATGACAACAAAAAATTATATTCTTAGGTAAATAAAAAAGGGATCATTAATAGGTAATTTGTCAAGACCTTGTAATCCAAGGTTGTTAAAAACTTTTCTTAAACTGAGATTGTGAATTGAAACTTTTCATGAGGAAAAATAAATAGGCAATTTGATATGTAAGAATTTGTTTTTCCCCACTTAAAAAGTGAAGGTGAAAAAATCACGTGCGGTGACGGTGGTCGCCCACCTCAGAAATAAAAGCCCTAATAAGCGAGAGAAGATCTGTGAAACTTGGGAGGTAAACCACACAAATAGTGTATCGAAGTCAGGCGCGAGACGTAGAGACGTCGCATGCCATACAAACGCTGTTTACATGTTACCATGACGTGTGCTCTTAAACCCCCACTCGTTCTCTTCCTCTTCCCCTCCTCTTAAATTTCTTTCCGTCTCACTCGTCCCCCTCATCAATAATCTCCCTCATTCATTCTTTCATCCATGGAAGACTCGAGATCTACCACCAGGAATCCCACTCCTCCACCTCCACCTCCTCCTCCTGCTTCGCTTTTCCCAGACACTGCCCCGGCGGCGCCGAAGAAGCCGAGTGAGTTGTCGTCGACGTCGAGTTCCGGATCAGACGATGCAGGACGCGAGAGGCTCAAGAGGCACAGAGACGAGGTCGCAGGGAAGGTGAAGATTCCAGATAAATGGGGTCAGGAGCAGATGATGAAGGATTGGATCGAGTTTTCTACCTTCGATGCACTCCTGGGTTCTCACCGAATGATTATTGCTGCTCGCGATGCGCTTATTGCCGATGCAAGGAAAGCCAAGTCTCGCAGATTAAGGATACAGAGTAGTTGCTAATTTAAATGGCGTTATTCCTGTATTAATTTCTCTCTCTTGTCCTCTCCCCATCTATCGACCCAGTTTCTGAACTACTCTCTCCTTTGTTTTTTTTTGTGTTTTGCTTCCTGTGATTCTTCATCACAAAAATAAGGGGAAAGACGTGAACGAGAGCATTAGTATAGTTATTATTAAGACCCATGAATATATAAAATTCATCTACGCCCAAAATGAGTTAATCTCCGATGGAATAGGAATAGGAATGGGATGGACGTTACTGAATGGCTATTATTTAGATCAGATATTTGTTCGTAGTTTCTTCAAGCAGTCAAGTTTTATTCGAAATCTAGAAATGGTCCCGTGAACTGCATGTTCTCATAATTTTTACATTTTAGTTTAGTTTGGTTTGATCTCTCTTGTGGAGTTTCTTGAGCAGATATCATATCACCGGTTCGAAAATTTTATCGCGGGTGTTTTTGGCCAGAAACAACTTTAATCTACTATTGTATTGGAATAGTACTACTAATATACTGTTAATTCATCAGTATACATATGAGTTTTCTTCTTTAGGCAACTTTTTTGGTTGACTAGATCTTACTGTTCAATATGAGAATCTTACTGTTCAATATGAGCTATCATCTTAATAAACTATAAGCCGATGAGAATTGGAGTAGCATTGTATGGAGTTTTCACATCAGTCAAATAAAAACATTGTTGAGTTGAATTTAAGGTTATTCTCTTTATGGAGTTTTGTATACGGAGAATTGGGTTCTCTTACAGACAGTAATTAATGCGATCATTGTGTTGGTGATGTTCATGATTGTTAATAGAGGTTCCTCTGGAGAATTGATCTGAATATTGAAATACTTAACATATATGTGATATTAGTTCGAGTTTGCATTACAAACTAAATCTTAAATGTAATATTGTTTACTAGCCATAAGCAATGTATTTTGTTTCCTAAACTTTAATTTATGCCCTGCATAAGATTCTCACTAGTTATATACATCATCTAGGTGTTTATTGGTATTTGGTTATTTAACACTTATAGGTCCCGTTTGGTACAAAATATTAAAAATGAGGGATAAAGATTTTGATTGAGAGTGAAAAAATTTATTAAAAGAGTGTTTAAAATGACTAGTTATTTGATAGTTGGGATTTGACAAATCTATATATGTAGGATTGGAAAATATTATGAAGGAGGTGATATTCTCCAATTCTATCTAAATAGGATTATCTCATCCTATGTGATAAGAAATCACTCATACTAAATATCTTTTTAATATGTATTTTCAATCCCAATCATAATTCTTATTTCTCATTTTTAATACTTCGCATTAAACAAAATAAGTCCTTGCCCTTTGATTTCCTTCAGACGTGTATGCTTGTATAGGCTGTGCGTTGCGAGCCTATAATCTCCACATATTTAGTTAGTTTTTACATCACATTTTATCAAACAAGTCACAGCGGATTCATCTTTGTTATTGCCTCCGAACTTAATATAAAAACTAATTAGATATTTAATTTGATCATAAATATAAGAATCTAATTCATTTTATCTCTCATATTCATTTTTTTTCAAAATAGCTCTTATAGTAGCTGCATATGTTAAAAATTCCTTCAAAAGATAGTTATGATACACATAACCAGTAAGAGTATTTTTTAAAAGATAACATATACTGATTAAAAATAACTAACTTATAACTAATTTTCTTAATATTCAAGAATTAATTATCTAGTTTTTATATTAAACTGCAGGGGTAGTATTTTTTTTAAAAAATTTTCTTCCACAAAGTTTACGACAATTCGTGTAACTATGGACTTTTTTATAAATAAAACATCAATTGTGTAATAAAAAAATTATACAACTAAAGTCGACATTAAGTGCAACTGCGTACATGTCAAGATTATCTCATCTCGTAGTCCTAAACTTTGAATTCTAATTAATTGATAAATCAATATTCCCTACGAATGAAAAAATCACTTCATGCACGTTCGAAATAGCACATTAAATATGCAATAAATTGATAACCACAGATAGCAGAGAATGAGAAAATACACATATATAACTTAAAATTAATTCTTAAAAGGCTGAAAAAATAATCTAAAAATCACCATGTAGAAAGATAAATAGTACTAATCCAGTCCTAAATATAAGAACTATTTTATAAATTGTAATAAAATAGTTCTTATACAATTTATAAAATAGTTAGTTCTTATACAATTTATAAAATAGTTCTTATATTTAGGATCGAAAAAATAAAACTTCTGTGACTGTTTTTTTCCCCAAACTTGAATGGCCGTGAATTCTAATTTATCAGTTTACTAGAAGATTGCACACATTGATTGCATTGAAAATGCCCTCGTGCAAGGTCTTAAAAGGTCTGCTTACTGTGATTTGTAAAAATGATATATCATCTAATAACGTTGGCAAAAAAAAAAAGATATTTAATGACGCTATCTACTCTCCTCTACAAGGATCACCGTTGCATGAAAGAAAAAACGTAGGCATAGAAATTTAACGTATTTTTTTTAAAAAAATAATGTGCTTTTTTGGGTTAAAAATAGATTTTACGGGCTTGATTTAACGATTCTAATTATACAATTGATTATATTCTTTTCCCTCATTTGTAAATTCAAATGCCAGAAAATAATACCAGGTAAAAAAAAAAAGCCAGAAAATAATGGAGGACGTATCAGGCTTGTCCTCCCCTGAAAATTTGTCCGGCCATAAAGTTTGATCTGGACCATTGAATGATTTAACAGCCCTGATAATGCCACGTGCGAACTATAAACAGTCACGTCGACGTTGTGACATAATCGTGGCCGTTCACTTGTCAACGGTTCAGATTCAGCCAACTTCAGAAGGGTTTCCTGGACAGATAGCAAATTATATTGCCGCCAGAAAACCCTAACTTCAGATGAGCTTCGAGTTTCGCTGCCTCGCTAGCGTGCCGTCTTGTGCTGGTACTATCTCCATAGCCCTATCCACTCAGCTCCTTGCTCAGTCTTTGAGATTCCATACTAGCAAACACACAAAACAAAGGATATTTTGATACTGTATCTGTCTTTCATTATTTAATTTTTCTTCCTAAATTACTTTTTTGGGGACTTTCTGCGAGTTACTTGCTGTCAAAATGTTTCTCACTTGTATGTTGCGATATGGATTCTTCGTTTAATCAGATTCGATTTTGTTTACAGGAGAAGATCTGTATCCGCTTTGTTGGAAAGGCCAAAGATAAATAATGAGGTATTTGTTCAAGTTTCTGCACGCCTACTGTCCGTTTTTAGCTCGTCTTGTGGATTTCCAGTCTATCGTCCTGTTTATTATACATTATCAAGATGCCGCAGATTATTTTTT